TTTTAAATTTATATTTTAGGTACGTTAGATTTGGTCTCGTTAAACAATTTCTGAAGCATATTTTGTTTTTCTAGGTTGTATTTTTATAACTTTATTGAAGTGACGTATATGTCTCTAAGCTATGGTGTGTTGTTAAAAGGGACTCTATGTTGTCACCGGAACCCTAAAAAATTCTTTTTAAACTAGTAAAAAAAAATGATTTTTTTACAACCTAAACTTTTCGTTTAGAATAAAACGTTACAGTTGCTTATTGCTCCCGCATTATTAGGTTAATCTTATTTATTATTATGATTCATTACAACACCAAAATATCTTCCAAAACTACTTTTCACCTTTGATGACCCTGCTCTGAACCGTTTAAACATTTAATGATCTCTTTTGAAAGATGAATGCGAACTTCATGCCATTGTATTCACAGTGTCTTTGTGCATTCTTCGACAAATGGGATGGAAAGTGCGCATTTAAAGATCTTTTATCCTCAAAAAATATTTCGGTAACCATTACAGTGCAGTAGCAATATTATTCAACTAGGCAGTGTTACCTTTACACTTTATTTACTGGACTACCAGAATCAATTGGAAAATGACTAATTATGTATAATGGATTCGTCTTCAATTATAAAACTGGTCATAAATATTATTACTTGAAACATTAGATAATTTGAGAAACACGATTACTCAAATAACACCCAGTAACCTAGATTATTACGGAAATAATGTTATTTTAACGCAACTATCCAAAAGTAAAAGTTATCAGAATTGTTACTTATATAGAGTTAGAATTATTTTTATTTGGATCTACACTTTTATCATAAAAATGCATATTTTTATGTATACGTTCACAGGTTAACAGTGTTTGGTCGTTTAATTGATTGACTTTAGAAATTTACGGTCAAAATACATAAAAGTTAGACACGGTTAAACCTTGTTTAGACAAATTTTATATGATATTTTTTCTTAAACTCGTGTTGAACGCGTGTATAACATTTCTGTGGTAATAATGTTTATGTAATTAACCAACTTCAAAAAAGGAGAAGGTTTTTTATGTATGTTATTATACTCACCGATTTCTCCGTCAATTGTGGACCGATTTCCAAAATTCTTTTTTATTCCAAAGACTGCACTTCCGAGGTAGTTTCATTAGAACCAAGTCTCCTGACTTGGTTCTAATGAAACTACCTCTGATGGTGATATCCGGGGAAAGCGAGGAAAACCTTCAAATTTCAAAAGCACGCACGATGTTTTTTGTACATGTTCACCGATTTCTCCGTCTATTGTGTTATTGTTTAATTGGACGATGTAATTTTCACTAAAATGGATGAAATAAAAATTTTTGAAACAAAAACTAAAACCGACTTCAAAATCGTAAATGGAACTAAAAAGTAAAAAATAATATCTGGTTCATGATTTGGAAGTCGGACAGGTGAAAATTAAAAGACGTATTATTACCGATCACAAACGAAAATCTATTAAATGTTTCAATCTTGACCCCGTCCGACTTCCAAATCATTATTTACGATTTTGAAGTCGGTTATATGTTTTGTTTAATTTTTTAATTATTAATGATAGTAGCAGACGATCGAAGAGCTACTGTTTATTTTAAGTTTATGTGTACCTTCAAGGGATATCCACTGTCCCCTAGGAGATAGGCAATACCATAGGATCCCGTTTCAAACTTTCTATATCTATTACTATTTTGGTATATAGTACTATCATGAGTAGATCCTGGCAATCTTGCAACTACATCAGTAATTAACAAATTGGCATCACAAATTGTCTGCATATTTATAGACATGTACGACTTCCTATTCCTAAATAATTCTGCACCAACACCACCTAAAATTATATTAGATTTTAAATCATGTATCCACTTTTACCAGCCATGTGATGCCAGCAGAGTAAAATAGAATCAAGCCATATACTCCAGTGAGTGTAGTAGAAGGCAACTATTGGATCACAAAAGGAGTATGGGCAGTACATATTATCTAAGATTTAAGTATTGAATTGCTTTAATATTACTTGAGAACAGATTTACGGAAAAGTGCTATTGATTAATTGTATTTAAGTACTGTCCTTATCTCTAATATTAATATCTTACCAGGCGATTGTATTTTGATGTGGCTGCAATCTATGCACCCTATAACATTTGGGAAACGAGATATTCCATAAAATTGATCTTTTACTGTAGAAATTTCCTCCTGCGTTTCTGGAAATACAATAAATTCCTTTCGCAAAGTAACTATGGCAGCAGCAACTCTCTTGATTATGCGACTACTTGTAGCAACGCTGACACCACCTAAATCCCCCACTGTCAAAAGGAAATTCCCAGTGGCAAAATACCTTAATGTAACTAAACGGATTTATTCCTGAAAATTGAAATTTTAAATAATTACACTATCTTGATCGATTATCGTCTTTTGATCTTTCACGGTAAATTCGTGGTGTTTTTGGCAATCTTTGACTAGAAATCATTTCCACAGTCTCGAACGCATCTAGACTCTCAAAAAACTGATCTAAATAATTGTCCATTGAAGAAAAAACACGTACTTTAAGGCGCTTTGCAGACGGCGGCGGGGCGGAGCGGGATGGTCAATTTTGCCGCGAACGATAGCACAAAGTGAATCCTATACTACAAACGCACACAGAGGGCAAAAAGACCGCGCCGCAGCTGCCCGGCGGGCACTGGTGGCGCGACATGTCCGCGGCTGCCCGCCGTGGATCATACAAACGGCGGCGCGGGGCGGCTAGCTCAGTCCGCGCCACGCGCTTTTTAGTGATGGACTATACACTAGAACGAACGTCCTGAACTGACTGCCTCTGCCCGTCGTGTGCTTTGTGTACGCGGCGAGGGCAGCCGCAGACATCGACGGGCAGACGCGATTTTTATTGCTTCGCGGACAAAAAGCCCGCGCCGCCCCGTCGTCTGCAAAGCGCCTTAATAGTAAATTATCACACGTATACTAAGTAAGGTTAGGAAGCCGATAGGGAGCGCAAAATCGGGGCCTTAAATATTAAGAGTTCCTTAAGCTTTAAGGTGATACTTAAGGATTAGTGAAAACTAATTTGTTTATAAGAGTTCCCTAAATACCGCTTAAGAGTGCCCTAAACCTAAGAGAATCTTGGTGAAAACGGGCATAAGAGTCTTGCTTCGTGCCAAGCTAGGAGGCAATCTAGAAACTATATTAATGCGACTCAATTAGGAGCGACGTTTGTAGTCAATCTGCAATAGTGTAGAAAACTCTAAACCTAGTTAGCGAGTAGCTTATTATGTGTGTTAACTTTAGCAGCAAACTCAACTCCTGTAGTATGGACTTAGCTTTCTGGTTCTTTGCTGTGTATGCTCATGTCGATGTATATAAATGTGTTTGTATGTGTTATCGATATGTATATTATGCTCTTTATTAAGTAAATTAATATTTATTGAAGAATATTTATCATATAGCAGGCAACTAATATCTAAAGAATTTTATTTCTACTAAAATTTTCTTAAGATATAAACATCTAGTAGTTAAACGTAAAACGGTCAAATTGGAGCAAGCTGGCACGCCGCTACATCTGTGGGTGATCTAAATGAATAACGTATAAGGCATGTAAATTGCGTCGGTAAAGTATGGTTTACAAGGCCACCGTGCAATGCGGATTTGTACCCTGAACCGCCCATGGATGTCGCCCACACCGACGACGATCAAGATACAAGCCGTGCCAACCAGAAACTCCCAGTAACTTAACTGCCAAACACCTTCAGTGCAAAATTCAACTCACAATTTATCCATGGATACTAATCGCCCACACGCAAATACACGACTGCTGATCTCATATCTCGACATTCCTGTCACAATCATAATTACTTACTCAAGAGATTGATATTTTAATTGTAGCTCAATATTTATGACTGTTAATCAACTACAAAAAAATACCGCTGGTATAAAAGAATGAAGCATTACGCGGAAGTTCTTTCCTATTCGTAACAATAATCCTTTTATATGAATAATCTTCTATTTTAATGGATTTTGACTGTTTTTTATTACACCAACTGGGATCTTTGAACTATATTACGTTTTATTAGAAGATCACTAGTTTATATTACACAATTTATGGTACAGTTGATGATCGCTGATCGAGCTCGTTGTAAATATCGAAAAGCTGGACTATAAAATTGATTTTTGAAATAACAGTAGTTTTTTTTACTATTTAAATCGTTGTACATTATCCAAATGATGTAATATTGGATATATAATATATATAATTAATGGATATATAATATATCCAATATTTCAGAATTATCAAAAAACACATTTTTAATATATCAAGCACATAATATCTTTGCTTTGTAGAGAAACAAAATTATGGGATCGGGAATCCTAGGTCCATGGAATCTATCTACCCTACCTACAAAAAATAATACTAACATTTTTTTTACAGACTACGATTAGAATGTACACTTCCAATCACACACATTTTTTAATCTCATTAAACATTTCCTTATGAAATGAACGGAGGAACCATTTGCAATGCAAACTTATTTCCTAAGTAACAACATTTAAAGGGTAGGGATAAATAGATTACCTATACAGTGTATTACGTATGCGGTTAGCACTGATGACAGTTTTGACCCTAATGCGAATTTCGCCAAGTGCTTCGCGTGGGTGTTACCTGTCGTTGCGCCAGCGCATGGCTATCTACTCCAGGACTAATACGCTTCCTTTTACGGTCAACGGCGCGCCACGCACGCACATGGGTTGCTGAATCACAAAACACTAACATCACTCATGATTGTCATGACTAATTCAAAAATAGCAATGGAGACGTCACTAATTTCCATTAATTTGTAAATTAAACAGTGTTATCTAAGGCACTGCTTGACATAAATAATGACGGCGATGTGCAAGGTACAGGCAGTTACATCAAGGGACCACAAACTGTAAAATTTTCTTAATAGATTGTGAATGTTGAATAATGTATTGTGAAACTCGAAGGCAGCTAGAAAAAAATGCCAGTTTTCGGTAATTTGACCTTTGTGTACTGCACCTATGGATGTACTTCACTTCAAAGTGGTTTTCGATATTATGAGAGTTCAGGGCAATCTTTTTTATTAATGGAGAACTACATAGTGAATCATACATCGTCCAAGGATGATTTCGTAAAGCATTCTGATAATTCACCACCCACAGATTACTACGTGAACGAGTCCCACATCACACCTTTTCACAAATAAAACTTAAGAAACATGGAGTTGCTTAATTTATTAAACTTCGACTGGTTCGACTGGGATATGTGCGCCTTCGACGCGGGAGCCGTCAAGCCCGGCACTGTATTTAGTGACGTAGGTTTTGCCGTCGTCTCCAATGTAAGATGTCTCGCCTTCGACTACTAGGACGTGTGCTCGGCCATCCGGAGTTGGTACTAGGCGACCTCTCTCTGATACAACTGTGCCCTCTGCTGTGACGTATCTCAGGGCGTATTGTCCGAATTCATCATGGACTTCCTCGTGCTGTAGTGCTGGCATGGTTCGCCTCCTTGATGACTGCACGCTGGGTGGTGCAGCGATCGCGACACCGAAGACTAACGCGGCTACGAAGATCTGTAAAAAAATATTGAAAAACATTAAAATTATATTACGCTATAACTGAACCATCTATACATAAAATATTGATGCTACCAGAGACGTACATAGTACCATATAAAGATGCAGTAAAAAAGTAAGTCAGTCTTCGTAGACTCTACAATAACGACAAGCCTTTTTTAGTTAGTTAAAGAAAGTAATTCCCGTTTCATTATAGCAGGGAACATGCATAAACAATATTTAATATCAATATTATTAATTTAAGAAAAATTTGCTAAGGGGTGGCTGAAAATCAACGTTGGTTCAGGTCCAGGCTTGACCAACATTGGCTGAGCCATTCCCTATTGTCTTATTTTAAATGAAATATTATTTAAATATCTGTTAACATGTAAAAAAGACAATAAATTATTATTATTAATATGAAAAAAAAATGCTAAATTATCATAACAGCACTTCTTTTATTAAAATAGTTACAAACCATATTAATATCAGAAGATAAATGCATAAAAAACGTCTTAAACTCACCAATTTCATTTTCTGTGTTCTTTTTAGTTTGAATGTAGCCTACGCTGTCCCAAATTAACAAGTGCAAAATATTATCCTAGCGTGAACTTTATATAGGGATTGCTGATAGTTTATTTTAACAATTAGTTGTAATGAGATAATTAAAAAATTTGGATTTATGAATTAGTATACAAAGTATAATGCCCTATATTAACTAAGTACTGTCCATTGCAAAAGAAATATTCAAAGAATGTCAGAAAAACAAAGCTTTCTCCTTTTTCTGAATTCCATAAACTTTTAATGGTGGTAATTGGAAGAATTAAAGCTACGCAAAAGTCATAAAACTTTTGACTTTTATGCTTAAATAAGCGCAAGTAAATCATGTTGAAGTTATTAATCACGTTATTTTAGTGATCAAAATACTAAAAAAATATTCAGATAAATATTGAATCATCACTTAAAAATTAAGCCGAATCTAAATCTTATTGAATGTTAAGCAGCCAGATATGCCTATAAATAATGGTCTCTTCTTATAGGAAGTAAGTTTTGCGACATGTGTAAGATATCAATACTTTCGCTAAATACCATGCAACATTTCTACATAACCACGAGGAGTGGAAACTGGAAGTTACTGGCATGTTTCCCTTTCAACCTTCTTCAGAAAATAGTTGTACATGCATAGTTCCGTTTGAATAAGTTGACAAGAAACCTTGAAATTGAATAATCTATTGAACTAATAACAAATTACTAAAGCGCAGCTTGTTATAGTTGTTATTTATAAGCATTATTGATACGACATTGTGGTGAAGTGGCATTACACTGGTTTTGCAAGGTGTCGCCTACTCAGAGGTCCTGAGTATCCCGTCGGAGCTAATATTTGTATGATAAATAGGTACAAGCATTTCTACCTAAGTCATGAATATTGATATGTATTTCTACAAAATCATAAGTATCTTCATATGTAATTCTATCCATTCCCGCTTTCCCATAACACAAGCTTATAGCGCTATTGTTTCGTGTGAGTGTATGATATATCACATATATTTCATAAGTTATTGACTAACTAATTACTAACACATTGAATACTAAAATAAAGGTAACTATTATGGTCATTTGTGAGATTTCCCATATTCACCTTAACAATGCCACATAGAGTGGTTGCCAAGTTATTAAGCGGGCCATAGATTATGCGGGCATAATAAATTAACCATTCATATATATACCATATTATTATTTTTTCTCACTAATAAAACTTCTCGACAAATAAAACACCGCCCTCAGAATTGTGTAAAATGATTTATGTGTATATTTTATTAATTGAATACCAATTAGAAATCGTTTACAAAAAACTTGTCATGTAAAAGCTACAAAAACCAATATCCGATATCTTTAACTTTTTCATCTACACTCTAAACTTCCTTCATTTTTGTGTAATTTAAATTACACAAAAATGAAGGAAAACGTTCATCTTTAAATACCTATAAATACTTTAATATAATTATTTGTTAATAAATAACAACAGTCTTCATTTTGTTTCTAATAAAATAATAAGAGCCAAAATTAAAAGTTCAATGACAATGTATTGCTTAAATGCAACACCTAAAGAAAACAATGTCTACGTCACGTCACTTAATCAAATTCATGTTGCGACTATCATCATTAGCAGTCATTGTCATTTCCTTAATTTACGTTTCAATTTGAGCAAAAACTTTGTATATTTTTTTTTCGTTTTAATGCAATTGCACGCATCTTAAACGAGATTTTTAAATTTGATTAAATAAAGAACATGGTTACTTCCACAATAGCGGATACGAATAGCTGAAGGCAAGGGAATCAATACATAAAAAGGACATTTTCTATCTGTTTGTCACAGATTCAAGCTCAGTCGGAATTTGTAAATCTAATTAGCAAAGGAAGTAGTCCAGAAAACTGGAAGGAAAATACAAAAGATTCAAAAACATATTTGCGTTAATGCTTTGGTATTTTCTGTGGAAATACTGTCATTTGTGTACTCGTATGTAAATATTCTAAAGTAGCCAATATGAATGTTCATACACAACATTTTTCGAGTCTTTTTCACTGCGCGACTTTTAGCTAAATATCTATGCAAAACAGAATAAGCCACAGACAAAAACATAATGCTTTGCCTGTTAGTGTCACTCAGAGCTTTCTAAGAAAAACGAACAGCATTTTGTGGGAAGTGTGACTTTTTAAATATTTTGGTGAATAAGAGCATTTGCGGTTTCGATTGTGCTTTGTTTAAAGCGGTATGTCTAATCATGCGTTCTATTTCCGTGTAGGTCCTCAGTCTACCCACGTCTTCTCCCGAGGTTGCGAAGGTTTATGCTAATATCTTGGCCGCACGGTAATTGTAATTCCATAAGAACACAGTAACAAACTACATAAAATATTCCCCATGACTAAAAGGATGTCAATACATATTTATCATAGAACACATTGATGATATCATCATTAATTATATAATAATCCTACTAATATTATAAATGTGAAAGTTTGTATCTTAGTGTGTATGCATATTTGATAATCAATCACGCAAAAACTACTGAGCGGATTTGAATAAAATTTGGTACGCATATAGTTTATAATCTGAATTGAGACATAGGATACTTTTTATCCCGGAAAAGTGTTAGGTTCCTGAAAAGTTTCAAAAAACTAAAGTTAACGCGGACGAAGTCGCGGGCGGCTGCTAATGATCGTATATTTGTCTCTGGCTTCAATTGTGGTAAACGCCATAACTGACTTTTTATAGGAAAGGAATAGCAAAGGAATAGCAAAAAAAAACCGAGATATTTTTTACCTGTTTTGGCTATAACGATGATTCTTACATCAAAAAACTCTTATTTGATAAGTGAAATGTTATTAAATGATTGTTATGAATAAAATGATTTAATAAGTATTGCACTGAATTAAAATGCAAATTTAAGAAGTAAGCATGGAGATACGCCCTAGAATGAAACTGCTGAATGGTGTTTTGGCCAAAAAAAGTATGAAAACTTATTGCTGATTGATAAAAAGTAGTAAAAGCCTTTTTAATAAACGAACAGGCAATTGATAAGTGGCAAACGCCTATTTAATAAATCATTTTTTATTTTAATTTTTGTATTTAGGGAAATATTAATTGTGTGTTTTATCCAGATCTTTTAATATTTACTCATCATTTTTATTAATAGTAACGTAATTTTGATTTTCATGAAAATGTGTATATGGGGCATTCCACGTGAAGCGGACAGGTAAAAAAACTCGATGTTTCCGATTTCAGTAATATTTGAGTATGTTCTACTTATACTTATTATTGATACGTGTACCAAATATTTTTGTGATATAATGACTAGTTAAAGAGTAATGGGACTTTGAAGTTTTCGACAACCGGTTGGCATGCAGTACTTCAAAGCCGATTATGGACTCATAAAATTATATATTAAAATAACTTAACCACTGGATTTCTTACTTTATTTACTGGGCTTTTTAACTGTGTTTTTGGAATAGAGAAAAAATTTTTTTTTTCGTAAAAAAAAACCAATTTAAGTTTTTTTTCTTGATTTTCACAAAGTTAGACCATTTAGTTTTTTTTTATTTTTTTTATATAAATTGCTAATATTGTATAGAACATTAGTGCCAACTTTTATAATGGGCGTGGAAGTGGATTAGGAGCTAGACTGAAAATACTGCCGAAGGGTGGCGTCCAGCGCCGCGCCTGTTGACCGCCGCTTGTGCGCGATTAGTCATCAAACCGTCAATCAAATAAAATCACTTTTGACGGAATGTTTTGTAGATTTTTAAGAAAACCAATACATTTTTAATGCCTATTAAGTACTAAAATACGTTACAACTACACTTTTAATTATAAATATACATTTTTTTATTCTCCATAATATGTGTATGAAATAAGGCCTAAAGGGCTTGTATCCAGGCCATAATATTAAAAAAAAGTTAATTATGGCGCCATGTTTGACAATTTTACCGCGTAATTTTGTGACGCGTGAGAGTGACTTTGTTAGTTCTGTGAGATTATATCGCTATTAAAAATATTTGAATATCATGACTCCTTACGGGGATCGATGTTATAATCCGTTTAATTTACCTGTACATAGAAAAACTAAAGGATTGAGGAAGTTATCACAAGTGCTAGCAGAAAAGTGGTCAATTACAAATAAAAACGTTAATTATTATGTGTGTAAGCATTGTAGAGACCGTCTTGCTAGTGAAGAACCCTTAATTATTGATGATGTGATCCTAAATAGTCAAGCAAGCCAATCATCACTCCAAAATTCACAAGTCTCGTGTTATGTTCCGGAAGGAAATACGCTTACGAAGTCAACACAGACAAACGACATAAAATCCATTGACAACGAAATATTTTTACAATTGAAAGAGAAATTTAATGATCCTTCTACATCTGTTTCTGAGAAAACGATGATTCTTACCTTAGCATCTAAATCATGGAGCGAAAATAAACTTGCTGATGAATTCAATACCTCTAGACGGCAAGCAAAAAAAGCCAAGGAACTGGTTGAGCAGAACGGTATTTTATCATCGCCTAATCCACGAGAGGGCCGCAAGTTAACATCAGAAGTTGTAGATTTAGTTTCTGAATTTTATCTTAGAGAAGATAACACTAGAATAATGCCTGGGAAAAAAGACTTTGTGTCTGTTAAGCTACATGATGGCCAAAGAGTCCAATTACAAAAACAGCTATTATTGTGTAACATCAATGAATTATATCAACAGTTCAAATTGGAATACCCTGACACAAAAGTAGGTCTTTCAAAATTTTTTTCATTACGTCCTAAGCAGTGCATTCTTGCTGGTGATTCGGGTACTCATATAGTCTGCGTGTGTATTTACCATCAAAATGTTAAATTGATGCTAATCGCGGGGGATATTGCATCACTTACTTCTGAGTCTGCTATCCCCCTAGTATCGTACAAGGATTGCTTGCAAAAGATGATGTGTCCAGATCCGACACCAACTTGCAATTTAATGACAAGAAAATCGTCACTGGACGAACAATGCCAAAGTTGCCCTGGCCTTGTCGGAATTCGGGAACACTTACGAAATATATTTGACGCA